AGTTAGGCGTTTGATAATTATCGAGGCCAGTATTTTAGATACTATGTTTGTTAAACTAATCCCTCTGTGGTTGTCACAGGATGATTTTGACCCTTTCTTATATATTGGGACGATAAGTGATTGCGACCAGTCAGATGGGATAAAGTCTAATTCCCAGATCTTAGCTAAAATATTAGTCAACTTAATCGCTAAAATTGGACCACCATCCTTGAAGACCTCTGGAGCCAATCCATCTGGACCAGCTGCCCTTCCTCGTCTCAGATTAACTATAGCCTTTTGAACTTCAGCAAGAGTCGGGGGACCTACTTCAATGTTCCATTCACACTGTCTGGGAATGGAGGGTAGTTGTAGAGTAGCTGAAGGCCAGCTGAACTGTTCCCTAAAGTGTTCCGCCCATCGTTCTAGACGCCTGGACTTGGAGCAGATGAGTGTATCGTCTTTTTCCGATATAATCTCACTTACACTTGACTTATTAATTCCAGTTTCTTTTATTAGTCTGTAAAGCTGTCTTGTGTTCCCTATAGTCGCCGCCTTTTCCATCTCTTTTGCTTTCGATGCCCACCACTGCTCACGGTCGTTTCTTAGACTTTTTCTTAACCTAGATCTGATTTGTTTTCGCTCTTCATCATGTTCAGGACCTGATGGGACGAGTTTGCGAGAATCCATCAGTGTGACAGACCTTGAAGAAATCCACTGGTTCCTTGCAACTCTGTGGCTTAAGTCACTAATAGATGTCACTGCTGTTTCCACAGCTGATTGTATGCCCTTCCAAGCAACATCTGGGTCAGCCTCGTCTTCACAACTACCTAAGTGTGACCTCAGTTGTTCCTGGAACCTACTTTTGGTTTTCTCGTTACTCAACTCAGTTCTAACGGGTCTTTTTAATGTGGCTTTTTTGCGTCCAGTGAGGCGCAAGCAGATGCGTGCCCGTATCAGGGCGTGGTCGGAGTCCAAGCAGGTACTCCAAAATGAGCGACAATCTTCTATCGACCCTCTCCAACGATGACTGATGGCAATATGGTCTATTTGAGTCCATCGTTGGTTTGGTGTAGGGGGTCGCCATGTTAGACGATGTCTCTCCTTATGCTTAAAATTTGTGTTTGCTAAAAATAAACGATTGTCTGAGCATAGCTGCAGCAGACGATCACCATTATCTGTTCGCTGTGTCGGAATACTAAAATGTCCACCTAAATGCCTTTCTGTTTGGTTTAAACTGCCTATCTGAGCATTAAAATCACCTGCTACGAGTACTATATCTGAGCGTTTAGCTTTCTGAAGAAGTTCGGACAGCTTTCTGTAAAATTCATCTTTCACATCATCTGAGCTGCAGTCAGTGGGAGCGTAGGCAGAAACGACAAAAAGGCAACGACGTGTGTCCCTATCCTTCCGAGTTCTTACGTAGCCGTTCAGCCGAACAGCACATAGACGACTGTTGACGGGGATCCACTCTAGCAGTGCTTGTTCGGCCCTCATGCTTAGTGCTATGCCTACACCTGCCAGTCCACGAGAACTTGCCATCGGGTCACCAGATACACGAAGGGTGTACCTCGTTGGCTCTCCGTTTTGCCGAGGTGAGGTCAAGTGAATGACCACACTGGAATCCTGTATGCGTGTTTCGGAGACACAGCACACGTCAATGGTAAGAGACTCTAGGGTTTTAGCCAAGGAAGCCTGCTGACCGATTTGACATAGGGTGCGTACGTTGAAGGCTCCAATGTGTATTTTGGAGCGAGGTTTCAGTAGACCTGGGACAGTATTTTGCGCACTAGAATCGTTGGCTATGGTGACACTTGAGGTGGAAGCCGAGAGAGGAAATTTAAAGTTGAAAGTCGATGTAGGAGGAATAATAGGAATTGAAGAGGAAGGTTGATTATGAATACAGTGGTCTTGAGTGCTGTTAGAGGTATGAGGGCGGTTTTCACTTCCCGGTTGCCCACACCGTGGAAGGGTTGTTCTGGAGGTACCTGAAAAGGAATTTGGATTAAAGGTGGTCTTAGTGACCTGAGAGCGTGACCGCAGTGCCCAAGGGACAACTGCTTGAGGTCGGTCACACATGACCTTGTTATGGGTAATTTTTGTGTTAGCTCCGTACTTATTGGGACCTTACCGCCGGAGACGGATATCCGTGGGATAAGGCGAGGTGTGCATTTTTAGGGTCGACCTTTTCTAACCCCACCCCTCCTTGTGGGAAGGCAGCATCGCTGTCATGCTGGTTGTCTGAAGGAAACACCTTACTGCTGTCACACCTCTGTACAGTCAGCAGTACGACTTCGCCTTCGGACCTTGGGTTTGTTGCTTTTAGTCTTACCGCTCTTCAACCGACCTGTCTGACATGGTAGGACCTTGAGGAACGGTTGTTCCAGCCAGTGTAGCTCGGTTGCTTCATCACGATAGGCAAGCCCGACCACCACGTCAAGGTAGCAACAACGGTCGGGATGCAGTAGACGCCCAACTTCGAGATCAACAAGCTGGATTCCGTAAGGATCGGTCGTGCACAGACCAAATTGCAACACTACGGATCATCGTCGAACAATCAGTTGAGTGGAACTCATCATTATACATCAACTTCATTGATTATGAAAAGGCATTCGACAGTGTAGACAGGAGGACGTTATGGAAACTTCTTCGACACTACGGAATTCCTGAGAAGATTGTCAATATTATCCGGAACTCATACGACGGACTACAGTGCAAAGTAGTGCATGGAGGACAGCTGACAGATGCATTCCAAGTAAGGACCGGAGTCAGACAAGGCTGTTTACTCTCTCCCTTCCTTTTTCTCCTGGTGGTCGACTGGATTATGAAGACCTCAACATCTGAAGGAAAACACGGAATACAATGGACAGATCAGAATCAATTAGACGATTTGGACTTCGCAGATGACCTAGCCCTCCTATCACGTACACACGAACAGATGCAGATGAAGACAGCCAGTGTAGCAGCAGTCTCTGCATCAGTAGGCCTCAGCATACACAAAGGGAAAACTAAGGTCCTCAAATTCAAAGCGGAGAACAGCAATCCAATCACTCTTGATGGCGAAACTCTGGAAGATGTAGAATCCTTCACATATCTGGGAAGCATCATCGATGAACATGGAGGCTCAGATGCAGACGTAAAGGCGAGGATCGGCAAAGCAAGGGTCGCATTCCTACAATTGAGGAACATATGGAACTCAAAGCAACTTTCAACCAATATCAAAGTGAGAATCTTCAATACGAATGTCAAGGCAGTTCTACTGTATGGAGCTGAAACTTGGAGAACTACAACAACCACAATCAAGAAAGTACAAGTATTTATAAATAGCTGTCTTCGCAAGATACTCAACATCCATTGGCCGGATACCATCAGCAACAGCCTTCTGTGGGAGAGAACAAACCAACTTCCAGCTGAAGAAGAAATTAGGAAAAGACGATGGAAATGGATAGGACATACATTACGCAAATCGTCAAACTGCATCACGAGGCAAGCCCTAACTTGGAATCCTGAAGGGAAGCGAAAAAGAGGAAGGCCAAAGAACACATTGCGTCAGATAATAGAAGCAGATATGAAAACGATGAATTACAACTGGACGGAGCTAGAAAGGATTGCCCAGGACAGGGTTGGATGGAGAACGCTGGTGAGCGGCCTATGCTCCTTCACGAGGAGTAACAGGCTTTGAAGAAGAAGAAGTTTGTAGAGTTTGGGATCTAGCTTTACCAACCATTTAAGACAAGTTATGCATCCTGATGCAGTAATTAGATATTAATTCATATACTAGGTACTATATGTAGTTCGACAGATGGGGATTATTAAATTATATCCTTGCGAAGAGATCAACACTATTGATGAATAGAAACAAGTGGTTAGTGATAGTGAACAGGTAAACAATATTCTGTCGTTATACTATTTAACAGTATAAATTTTTTTGGAGTACATTAGTGTCAAAAAGGAAGTTCAGAGAAACTGGATTTACATTATATTAATCTATTATAATCTATATGATTAAGAAATATATTTTAGTTATATGGAAGAGTTTGGGAATAATCTAAAAACTTGATTGTTCAACAATACATAATTTTTGACACAGCTCTTTTGCCTAGTGATTTGGTGGGACTATAATTTATGGACGACATTAGACTGACTTCGAGAGTATTCACTTAATAACTAGGACTAAATAAGGGTTATAAACCAGTATGAGGAACTAGAATTATGATTTACAGTTAATGATTAATGTTAGGAATTAGATTTAGGATTTTCATCACGAACTGACATCAACTATAATGCCAAAACTCCATTTAGCTAAGTGGGTGATTTCGCGCTATTCCAAATCTGATTGGTTTACCCATAAATTGTAGTTTCGTCAGTAATTTTTCATTAATTATATATAAAAAGGTAGGGATTTTATGTAGTTGCTTAATTTCAGATATTTGGTTATTATACGAATCCATGTTTATTATCAATTTACCATTTAACGAAATTGAAGATAGTTGGTATTTCATTAATCATTAAAAAAGGAGATTAAGAGACTATTTGCACATTGACGTAGCAGTTTTTGACTGTGTTGCTGAACTAAATGGATGATTCAGAGAGTGCTCAATGTCGAAACATATAGACTGGGTTTCGCATGGATTAACCATGCTTCGACAAAATTGTGACAACACGGATTATTGTTGGACAATCAATTGAATAGAGTTCATCACTATACACCACATTCTTTGATTCTGAGAAAGGATTTGATAGTGTGGATAGGCAAACTGTGAAATTCACTTCGGCCATATGAAGCACTTGAGAGAATCGTCCTCATTATATGGTGCATCAAAATATTCTATCGGTAGAGAATTGCAGCGAATTAAAAATTGGAAAACATAATAAGAAACTATATAATATATAGTTCACAATTACCTGGGCGTGTAGTAGACTGAGTAAGAAGTGATGGCAATAAGCCTGACGAAACTGTTGTATTTCCCTTTGATACATTCGGACTATCAATACAAACTGGAACTTGATTAACAGAACTAATGGATGTCAATGTTAGAGGTGATCCAGAAGACAAAATTTGATGTGAATGATCGCTGATTGAGTGAATTTCTAATTCCGAATTGTTCACAACATAACTGTTTTCTAAGGGCTGATTAGACTCGCCAAGCGATTGTGAATTGTTACCAGACAAAACAGAGCACATTCCAGATGTTAACACATCTCCATCATGGCCAAGATCTAAGTCTGATAACGACCTGGTATATACAGTATTTGTAACCACAGATGGTGATGTGAAGACAAACGGGCTACAATTAAAAAACACAAGTTGAATTATTAGATGATGATTACATGATATCCTAATAATGGCAGTGATCGAAATATTAAACTTACTTATTATCAGAACCTGTGACTAACATAGTCGGTGATGCATTACTAGGTGCTGCGGTTGTAGAAGTATGAGTGGTTTTTGTTCTCAGCACTTGCATTGGTCTAACAGGAGATTTTCGTCGACTACTACCTGAAGATGAATTGCAGGATAACATTGCTCCAGTATCTGTCAATGTAGAGACTAATACGCCATCAGAACTGGTAGCAGTGTTTGAGCCCGTAATGATGGAAAGTTCTGGAGCAAGTAAATCTTCCTCCAGTTCCTCTTGAGACTGTTGAACTCGTCTATTAACGAGTCCATGTGGTTCTGCAGACTCCAGATCATCTTCATGTATAGCTGTTTTATCTAAATTGGTTCTTAAATGTGCGAACTGATCAACATTCGAACTAATGCAAAAATCAAGAATATTAGTGGTGTGTCGATCAATAGGAGGAGAAATCTCATCAGAACGAAACATAGTTTGCCGTAAAAATGTATTGGTAGGTTCTGCAAAAAAACAAAGCAAACATTATCTTAAAAACGTAATAAAAGTTCACTGAAGTGACATTTGAAATAGCAGTAATTCATTTGACTTAAAGTTCTAAAGCTCTTAAAGTTTACTTAACATCGCCTGTAGCCCTTTTGGGGTTACTGTCGGTCCCAAGACCGAGTAAAGTAGGGGGGTTTGGTATGGAGTCAATAACAACATTCCGTAGAAAACAATCTCGCTAAAACACGTCAACCAGAATAAACAAATTAAACCATTAAAACTGCCCGGGGAGTTGAAGGGAGAATTATGTCGCGTTATGCTGAAAGTCGAGATTCTTCGGAATTCGCGAGGCCGATGCCCCTTCTAAAAACCAGAGCAACAATTAATATATGTACATGGAATGTTTGGACAATGAGGGAGGCTGGGGGGACCAGTCAAATAGTTACAGAAATGACTAAATACAATTTTGTAGTTCTCAAAACAAGTGAAACACGGTAGACAGAAAATATTAGATTCGGGAGAGATGCTGTTATATTGTGATTATGAAAAAAATGCTTCGCGCAAGCAAGGAGTTTCACAGATGATGTCCAAAGAAGCAGGTAAATCACCTATACGGAATCTCATGGATCCAGAATCATCAAGGCATTATTCAAAAAAAGGGGGAGATCACAATCAATGTCACAGAATGTTATGTACCCACCAATGATAGTAATAAAGATGATAAAGATCAGTTCTGAGGCTGCAATCGATCATAAGGAAGTGCTCAGGAAAGGATCTGAACATCCTGAGAGATCTAAACACCAAAATCGGAACGTAAAACACAGGATATGGAGATATCATAGGACGAGATGGACTGAATGAGAGAAAGGTACTAGGATGGTGACCTTTGCAAATTTATGTAGTTATAGGCGGCACTATATATTCCCCACAAACGCATACCCAGCAAAGTTACATGGGTCTCGCATACACTACAGAGAATCGGATCGATCATATTTGCATCAGTAAAAAATTTACAAAGTCAATGGAAGACGTGAGAACCAGGAGGAGAGCTAACATAACTTTAGATCACCATCTACCTGGAAGTTTCCAAGATGAAAGTGAAGCTAAAGAAACACTAAACAAGTGGGGAAACTGCACAAAGGAGATTTAATACACCCATCCTTCGATATGTTAACAAACTCAACGAATTTAAGATAGCTTTCAACAACAGGTACCAAACCCTACAAGATCTACTAACAGAAGGGGAAACTAATATGGAGCACAACTAGAAAAGAATCAGAGAAGCATTAACTTCAACATGTCAGGAGGTCATGGACCACAAGAATCATCATCAACCATAAAAAATGGATCGCTATGAAAGCCTTGAACAATATAGCAATTAACAACTACCGAACAAGAGTAGTAAGCTTTCTATGGGTGGCACCAACTGGAAATCTTAGGGTGTTACACAATTGCTACGAGTATAATACAGATTGATCAAAACTGATAAACCGTCGAGTATACACTTGGTGTGCTACTAAGCAGGAGCGTAGGTACAAGACTGCCCCTCCCGCCGTTCTAAGTTTTCTGTCTTCGTGAGACAAAGACGTTACGGATATTAGCAGCTCCTGGTCTGTATCGATATTTCAGATATTACTATCAAATGAACATTATTAGAACTACTTGGTCCAAGTAGCTCAACCATTTTGTTTGATAGATTTGCAGCGTTCGTACGTTGGGAGTCAATGCATTCGATTCAAAATACATCCGTGTCCTCGTCCTGTTTGGCTGTACGAGCATTATGTGAATGATAAGAAAACCTAGATACACAAGATTTTCTGAATATATACCCCCTGCACCTTCCTCATTTTTGTTTTTGGTAGCAAACAGGTGTAATAGTCGGTCTCAATTTACCTTCGTGTCTAATCATTGCAGCATGTGGTATGTGCGGACGGGTGTGGGTTGCAGTTGGTAGCTGTTGGCACGAAAACCATTATAAGTGGTAGCTTTATTGAGTAAGAAGAGAAGGTTAACTTCATTACCCAGCATCTAGGATATCCATCTTTCTTGGCTAATCATACAGTTTTGAGGGACAGTAAGACTAACCTGACCGATAAAAACTAATCCACTGAACAAAGTATGACGGAAGCCAATAATTCGGACGCAATCGGAAAAAGACTTATCCCTCGATAGTTGTTGCATAAGTGACATGAACCCTTCTTAAAGATAAAGAAAATTATCGATTCATTCCATGATGCTGGAACACTCCGTAATTGCCAGATCTTTGTAGAGAACTCAGTACCTTAACCCGAAGGTCTCCATTACTCTTAAAACAAGCCGGAGGTGTCATTTGGACCTGATGAATTGTGGAGATCTGAGAGTTGGAGTTCCTTGCGGAACCCTACCTGATTGGGTGGATTAATCGTCACCGGCTATGGAAGACAGGACAGTCTGATCGATGTCGCCAGAGCAGCAGATCAGTTGAACTGTTCCTCGATAAACTCGATCCAACGTTCAAGACATCTGTAGATGTTGTTGGTTGGCATCCCACTAGCTTATTTCACTCACATAATTCTTGCTGCCAGTGCCCCTGATAGGTTGAAAGAGCTCCCGAGAGTTACAAGAGTATTAGCTCCCCGGAGTAGACCGACATGCTCCAATGAGCTGTAAGGAGCGTGTAAAAACCTAGTGTTTATAACCAGAACGTTTCGCCAAGCTATAAGCGACTTTACTTGTCACTTTTATAGTGTCATGCAACTGCAGTCAGTGCTCATCTACATTTTTCGGTGGGTTGATAACTAGCCTAGAACCTAGCTCAGTTTGATATCTAGTTGCAACAGAAGCCCTAACCATTTTGCTGACATCGATCCATTTACGGAGATGAATTTGTTGGCCACTGAAAAGTAAGATTAGCGCAAACAAGGGGATGATCAGATTCCAGATAAGTAATCCAAAAGAAGCAGCAGTCTTGTATATAACCATGCCAGTGGTGGCAGACCGCGATGTGATCAATCCGAGTCAAGGCTTGAAATGCAGATGAAGAAGGTCAGATAGCACGACGGCGATGACTGTACAGATAGTTAGCGCTAGTAAGAAACAGACTATAGACTGTGCGAATTTGCAGCAGACGGTCACTGTCATCTGACCTGCAACGAACAAGTCCTAATTAGTTACCCAAACGACTCCCGTCCCTAGACGCCCAACTTGTAAATTCAAGTTTGAGCTAATACTACAGTATTTGTGGAACACGCTTTCTAAAGAACATTTAACTGGTGGTAGAACTCATCATTGATCGCATACCGATTGCAATCTGTTGGAATAGGCGGGGATAACGAAAGGACATCGTTTATCACAACGGTTCGTTTTCACTTCGGTGGAACTTTCTAATTTAACAGCACATAATCGACTGTTAATGGGGACCCAATTGATTGGTGCTGTCCCAGCCTTGGAACTTAAAGCAACACCAACATCAGGAGAACCAGACAAAGATGCTACAGGGCCTCCGGATAAACACACGTGAAATAACATTTTAAGGCGGTAGATGGGGAGTGAATTCGCAATACTTGCCTACACCGCAAATGATGCGAGTTGGCAAAGGCCAATCAAGCTTTCAGAATCCGTTCTGAGTTTTTCAGAATAAGTGAAGTGGTTAACAGACACAACCTTACTTCGTATGATCAAAACAGGTCAGTAAATATGTGTTGATATTCACTCAGTTAACAATCTAAACAACTAACCTTTTTGGTTACAGCTTGGACTGAGTACACGTCTAAGGTTAGAACGATTCTTTAATCTAGATGATTCCGATCTTCCATGATTTTCCATAGTATCCGGGTTCTGGCCGTGAATAAGCTGTTCTGGTTTCTGAAGTTCACTAAACATGTCAGAGTAAGTTGATATACACGATGCATCGGGATACTATAAAAAAAAATGGAAAAGTTAAACGAAATTAATAATTTAAGCATCAAAGCCGCACTACTGTAGCTGAGATTTAGTTAAACAAGTCAACCAAAACTTCTGTTCCTACACATATCGGAGTAGTCACAGGTTGGGAGAAGTCTAGGTCTGCCAAACTGAGACATACCATCAGCTCATAAAGTCACTGACTGTTGGTCTGAACCGCGCAGAAAGATACACGCTACCTGGTTAAAGTTTGTACGATAATCATCAGCGGTTGGCGAAAATTCCATTACCGTGGTCCAGATAAATTCATTCCCTGTCCTCCCCTAGGTCTTCAGATTCATTAATACCTCGTGTTCCGATTTCTCGCTTGTATCCTTTCTCTTCAAACCATATTTTTATGTTAAGTTTCTTAACATAATTTATGCTACTATTGTTATTTCGATTTTTTTCTATCCATCTTTTTAGATTCAACTTTTTGTGCTGATGTTGTTAAGCATCTTTGATTGAGGTATACTTGTGTTCGGGGTCCTACAATGTTTATAGCCAGTAAAATAGTACAAAAGGTCATGAAATTGTCACCCCTTCAGATTGGGAATCAATCTGATAATCCAATAAATGCAACTGAGATGAAGAAACATCATTTTCGAGAAATTAGTTAAAATCCAATCCTAATTGTTATAGCACTGTTTCAATGTATGATAGTCATATTTGTAACTAAGGTCAGGTTTGCCATGTGTAGTATTTCGGAAATCAATTTTGAATGTTAGGGTCAAAATTATGCGAAATTAGGTATAAGAATTATAGCTGGAAAAATATGAATGAAATCAAGAAATGAAATAGCAATAATGTATCTGTGATTGTTTTATGACGACACCTAACCTTTCCAGCTATATTTCACGATCATATTGAGAACCCCAATTATTCTACGCACTAATATAACTGAGATCAGCAATTAATGGCAATGGTTTACCTAGCACTTAGCTATAAGCCACACGTTGTGTAAGGGCTGGCGGTACTATCTGAATCCCTAAGTCGACGTAAAAAAGAATGATTCAAACTTGCAACTAATTGGTTGTAATGCGAGTAATTTAATCATTAAGCTATCGCTCCGATGAATAATAGCGGCACAGAGTGCACATATATAGCATACATCACCAACCACCTTTTTGCCTATATTATCCTTGAGAACCAGAGGAAATCGAAACGTAGACACTCAGTAACCCGTTTAGAAGTATATCACAGAAGTGAGCTAGTGGTTAAGTGCTCAACCTTTAGCCACTAAGTTCGAGGTTTGAAACCTAGTTCTAACTACTTTTCTGCAGTTTAAAAAATAAGAACCCTAGTTTTTGCTTATAAACAAAATGAATTAGTATTTGGGACTTCCAAATGACAGTTGGCAATTTTGTTGTGAAATCACCATCATTAGATATCCATGTCACGTTTTTAGTAAGTTCGGTAACATTAGAAAAATATGTACAAAAGGAGTTTGGGTTCGAAAATCTGAAGGCTAAACAAGAACAGCTTTTGTATTGCATTTACTATATTCTGATAAAGCTAGCTATAATCAGCATAAAGCCTGATACAAATGCCTCAGAGTTGTCCCGTCACAATATGGAGATTTGAAGTCCACTACACAAATATTAGAGAAGAAATAGTAGTAACGACAGAACAGCATGATTCGAGAAAATGAATCCTCCAACTAAAGTCAGTCAGCTACAACGATCTAAGAGAAAGTGAGTGAGTGCATATGAGTCACTGTGACCAATTTCGCACCATCATCCATTTCTATTTGGTGATTGTTATTATGTAAATTACAACCAGGTAGTCCGCACTTATCAATACGACACAGGTCGGTAGTACCTTTATTAACTGATCGAAAGTCTTGGTTGGTGGTTGTAACTTTTTTGACTCCTACTCTAGCAGCAAGGCATGCTAAGATAGGCAGTGGCTAGGTAATTTTAACACTGATCCTAGTTACAGAGTTCAATGAGTGAGTGTACTCAGCAGTCTGCTCTGTATTACAATATCCCTATGAAAATAAGACATTTGTAAGCTGCAGGTTTTCGAACATAGATGCCTTCGAAGCACTGTTCGTATATCGTTCAACAACCGAGTAACCAACACGGTTGGTAGACTTTGTCATACTCCACGTTTTCTGACTGACGCTGGTCGATGCAGATGAAAAACCTTAACAACCGATACAGACTGTTGAGTACACACCCATAGGTCGGAGACACATTTCGCTTAAGCCACGTGACAATCTAGAGAGGTCGATTTTAAATATAATCACCATATTCTGTTGCATCATGTGTGATATCGTTTGTGATCAGTTTGCAGACTGATTTCACGCTGTTGGTTTGATGTCAAAAGGTAATTACCAATGAAATAACTAGCAGAAACCAATGGCTATGTTCTATGCAAGACACAATTAAACAATGCAGTGGTAAGAAACTTACCTATCTTTTAAAAAAGTCTAGCACAAGAGTTTTGGTGTTAAATACAAAATATCTTACACAGAAACGGCTTAAAGCATAATACGAGACCTATTAAAGGACAATAAAAATACAAGTGTCAAAATATGTTTGAAAAAGGTTTAACAAAACAGATGCTCACATAGGTCTTAGATGAAAGAATTCCTTCAAGTTCATTACCTTCCCGATCTTCATCGGACGAATAGTACTCTTTATTGTATTTGTCATGTTTGAGATAGTTGGTCGTATCTGATTTGTGTTCAGATCGTGATTTTGTTGCCTGTGATAAAATTTTGTTTTTTCTGATGGGTTTCCAACTACTGTCAATGGAGAGGGGTTGATCAAAAGAATGATGTTCATCAGCTGATTGAGAAGGACTGTACTCATGTTTTGGCTTGAGGCGTCGACCATGTCGACTTTTAACACGAGGAAATAAATCACGATCGCTAGGGATTTGTGAAGAAACACTAAGTTTCGACTTGTGTTTCTTAAGAAGGTTGGCGGAGGAAACAGCCATGAGAGCAGCTGTTGACCGGTCTGTGAAGTGTAGGAACTTTTTCTGGCGGTTACGCTTAGGAGGTTCTACGACGTCATACAAAAACCTTTTGTTGATATAGTTTTCAGCCCCTGAGCGTTTACGCTTCTGTTCGGATAATGCTAAACGGCTGTCACTTGTATCAGTGGGCTTTCGCTTTGGATCTGACATGACTCTTGACTTCAGACTGGATCCCAGGTTAGAAGCAGCGGAGTTTTTCGACTTTCTTTCAGAATTACGGTTATCTTTAACAACAGGAACCTTGTCGCTAGGTGTCCTGAAACTAGTATGAGATAAAAGTAATACTCACGTGGTTAAATCCTGATCATTGTCATCGTTCTTCGACTTTGACTTTGCACTGCTGAAACTTGAAATAGTTATGTATTATTAGTACCTTATGGACCGGATATGTCTGTCCCTTTTTGTCGTCTTTAATGATCCAGGATTTGGGACAAATTTACGGGAAATCCTACAGGGATTAAAGTTTAAATTGATTTACCTGATATCGTTTCGTTTAGACCGCATTACACTTTTTAAGTCCGTGATGAAGATTTATGCTATATTTGTACTCCACATTATGCAACCGATCCAACAGATTATAGATCTAGCTCAACCGACAACAAATCCCTAATAACGTAGCGCAACAATGCAGATCAAAAAATATGGTGATTTGAGTCCATACAAACAAAATCCAAAGAACCATTTGTACTTGTCAAAAGTTATGAAATATCGTATATAAGACTCACAATAGCTCAACTTTATCAAACATACGTTTGGTACACTCTTTTTTGTCTGGCTTCTAACTTAGAAACTTCGAATCTTGCATGGCGGAATTAACCAACTATTTCTTCCTTGGGATCTGAGTCTTAGCGATATGATGACGTCTTGGTGTTCGAAAAGTATAGTCCTTGTTATATCTCTGTCAAGGCTGAGGCGTAAAAGTAGCCTTGCTCGCCATTTTTAATTTGGGAGTATAACAAGGCTCATACCTCACAGAAACCAAGGGCTCATTCCAAATGCCCATATGTATATGACAAGGAACTAGGAGCTCACTGATTCTTTTAAAGAAACTTGAAGTTGAAGTCGGTTATTAGAAGTAGAAGGAACCGTTAAGTGATATTTGAGGCAATCCCTCTCACAACCTACCATAATAAAGTAAATATCAAACCTCCTCTTGTAAGTCACTACAGAAGATATCGCTACTAGCGCCTCGAGTAAGGTATACCACGATTTAGTGATTCTGACCACGTAAAAGTCAGCATCACATTTTATGATTCATCCTTGTTGAACTTATTTCTAGGAGTACATCCGTAAACAAATTCCCAGAAAATAGCTTTATAAGTCTTAGATGCAAAATGGATCAAATAGTTGTGAAAGAATTAGAAGAATCTTTCGCCTAACGAGCTCCCATGTTCAGTAGCAATGGGTCACCACTGCCTCCAGTTATGGATTTGGATACATTTTACAAGTAGAAAGAAAATATTAATTGCTGTGAAATACTGCCCTGAGGCCTTTAGAATATATCTAGTTTTCCTTTGAAGGACTGGTGAAAAGTCGCTTGTACTACCTTAAACGACGGAGGATTCCGAAAGTTGAATGTCCGTAAGAGGTGAGTGTAGGGATTTTTGAGCCTTCTGTGTTGTGGCTCTACTTTTTGGGTATTTCCTTCTAAGGTTTGCATTATAACTGAGCTTAAGTAGGGATTTAAGGGGACGACCAAGTGTGTTTAGGAAGCTAGAAATCATGAGCTCACCGCTATACGTTAATTAGAAAAGACCCACTTAGCTAAGGTATTCTTCATAAGGTTTGAATCCCAGTCTCTGTAATGATCTTGTAGCTCACCTGTGGATACATTCCAGATTATTACCATCTTTTAGGGGTGAGGGAGTAAACACTATATTTCCGAACTGTAAATGGACAGCGAAATCCCACTTTAGGCCTCCTCATGGCACTGCTGGGTTCTGTGGGCAACCTTGCTAGACAACTTAGGTAGTTCATGGAGACGGGACTAACCCACCACTCTATTGTAGATCATGGTGTCCCAAGACTCCCAGATCATTTCCAACTTGGAGAGGAGAAAATACCTAAGTTGTAAGCGTAGCTCGCAGCATATCTCAGATGGAATGCTTTACCATTCGAAATGTTAAAAGTATGTCCGTTACCATCTGCTCAACCTTGAAGTCACATCAAATCCCCATGGAGCTTTAGTTTCTTACTCCAATCGCAAAATTGTCTCCAAAGTATAACCCAGACGATACTCGTTGAGAACCGTCATCTACATAATTTAACAAGAGAAGTCTTTGTACTGAACCTCAGGGCACCCCACTAGGACATTATGCAGCCTTAAGAGAAGTGAGTTTACTCTGACCTTAAAAGTCGCTTATTTATACATTGCTTCAACCAGCAGTAACTTTATACCTATCAGCTTGAGCTAACCGAGAAGACATGTATGACTGACCTCCCTAAAAGTTTTTAATAGATCGAGCTATATCACATCCACCTTCCCTTTGGGATCAATGATGGTTGTTGACTACAGTTCACGATGCCAAATCTTAGGAATCGCAACCCTTTGAGAGAGAAGGCTTGGGTCTAATTTGATTCTCTACTTCAAACTACTCAAGAACCTTACTTATTCAACATGTAAGATAGTTCTTGCCCGTCAAAGTTGAGAAATACAGATCAAAAACTCGAGAAAACTTCTTCCTCATCAAGTATGCAATAATATGGAACAGTCTTCTCTTCGACATACACATTGCAGATCAATTACATACGCCTGTAAAACTGCTTGATCAAGCCCTCACTTGCACTGATCTAGCACGCACGAGCACATCTGCGCCCCAATCAGACATCATAGGCTCTCTCCATGTCTAGACCAAAATGGACTTCAAGTTCAGTTTGCCTTATTTTTCCTACTTTGCAGTTGTATTAGTTAATTTTACCACACTATTTCTTCACTTGAAGTAGACAGGTAATTCACTCGACCTATCGATACTGTTCAACTAAACTCGGTCACTAAGGGACACTCATTACCACCCTAAATAGTCGAGAGAACCGCACAATCGACTGCCTACTATCAGTGGTCGTGCATCTAAGGAGCCTGTTACCCATCAACTGGTTAGGACAACACAAAATAACATCAGCACCAATTTAGTGTGAGTTTCTTCCTGTTTATTCTTTATTAGCTTTTTACTCTTCTGTACACTATTTTGACTAGCAATTAATATTATTTCTTCACTCGTTAGCTTATCTACAACTCATGTACTTCTATACTTTTCCGCCTACTTTAATAGGCAACTATCCTACATTATACCCTTCCTAATGCTTATACTCTGACTGGCATACTATACTTTATACTATAGTCAATTAAAGCACTGCATCGATGCCTTACCCATAGTCTATAACTTGTAATTGCCTGGTGAGCTTGTAAAGTTGTACTTGTAAAAATATTGTTTTTCAACAGGATGTGAAACACAGAGGATTGTGTGAGGTGTAACATATATCCAAAAATAAGCTTAAATGAGCCTAACATCATAAAAGGAGGGAGGGTGGTTGCTGACTAGCAAGCATTGATGTTGAGGGCGATGACTTCAATCCACCAATGCTTGTGGGGCAGAACATTTTGTATGTATCAGGCTTTTTATGATTGGGAACGAGTCAATCAATCTGTGATATAGATTTTCTTCCTACGCTCACCACTCAGACTCATGTTTCCAACTTTATGCTGAATTAGCTATTCCACTATAGCGACCTATAACATGCTAACTCGGACCTTTACACTAGGATTGTGTGGCTGGCATCGGATGAACAAAAAAGAAAATAAAGAAGAAATTAGACAATAAAAAATATAGTCACTAGTATTCTCAACACATCACCCTTTATATGCACTCTCCTTTCTAATAAACCGCTTTCCTTGTACCAATATTGACTTCCCTTCCTTCATGTGAGCTTACTCCAACTTGTTAAACATCACAACTCATTGTTCTTCATTACTACATTTTCTTATATTGAGCCTCTGACTTCATTTCACTCTAACAAGAGATAATGTGAATTTAATTTAATTTATTATACCTCTGTCTGTTATACTACACAATGTTAAGCAACGTTTGGCGTTCATATCCAAGTTCATTGCTGCTCTTCTACTTCTCTTTTTTCTTTCTTCAGAATCTTGCTCTGAGGGCACAGCTATGGAACTACTGACGTTTGGGACAAACCTGACGTACGCGTCCCCTCAAGGCCATGGTTTACAGCAAGCGCTCTACGAGTCTACTTTATAACAACTAAAAATTTAATGAGTTGGGAAGCATGCTGTGCGTCAACAAATGTTGTAATTTGCAGATCATGCCTGTAAAAATGGCATGTACCTGCTCATGCAGAAATATATTATTATTACTACTATCTAACCACAGCAAGTAACAAATTGATAAAAAAGGACTGGTCTTTCCTGAAACTGTGATTTTCGGGTGAAGAGTTTATAGATAGCAGTTAGTCGCAAAAACCAACTTGTATCAAGGACTCCGTTACTTTCGAGGGTATTGAAAAAGGTCGTACCGGCCAGCAGTTTGGAGGTTCATAACGTTGGTATTTTTTTGGAAATTGGTGTGATGCTTTCCAGCTTCCAATTTTATAGAACCGCCACTTGGCCCAGTGAGTGTGAGGAAATTACACTTTCGAGCCTGTCAATATTGAAGCTGATTCTCTTACTACAACATTACGGACCATATTAGGGCCAAGGGAGGTGTTAAGTTTTACCTCCGAAACGCCTGCTAAGTTGTATGTGAAACCTTCGTCGACGTAGGTTTTATGGGATAATTCAAATGTTTGAATATGCTGTCGAGCCAGGGGCTCTGAGACATCTCCATTGTAGTTGAACAGGTAATTTGGACCTGACAACTAAGAAACCCAAGCATTGCTTTTCCTGAGAGAGACCGCATAGCGATATGAGAATGGAGATAAATTTATCGACTAACTTGATCCCATTCTAAAAGATACTTTGTCTCAGAGCTTACGTGAGTTGTTTTCCTGATCGTTTGAACTGCCTATGTGTGTTGCCGCCTCTGATTTGTTTGTATCCCACTCAGCAGTACTTTTTAAGTCATAAGGTCCAAAAAGTGCGACTGTTAATGACTTCACATTGTATGTAATTTTTGAGGCAGAGTAATTTAGCGTTCATTAAGAAATCCTGGTAAGCGCTCGCGTCAAGTTAAGTGTCGATTCCTTAGTTGATGTGGTGCAGATTGTCCTTTAAAGTTGACACATATAATGTATAAAAGTCTTAAAATGTGTAATTTTCGTGCCTTAAGGTAACCCTCGTGCTATTGATAGAAGAAACCAAACAAGTAGTGAATAGGTCTTTATTTCGATCTTCGCGCAGTCACAGTGGAGCGTAGGATTATCTGTTCAGACAAACAAAGGATCTCAACATTCAATATAATAACAGGGAATATAACGCTTATACAAAATAAGGAACAATACTGTTTTGGTATATGCTTGGTTGTTTGGGGTCAACTCTTAACCAACCAACCTAA